GGCGGGCGGATTGCTCAAGGTCAGGAGTTCAAAACCAGCCTGAGCAAGAGCGAGACCCCGTCTCTACTATAAATAGAAAGAAATTAATTGGCCAACTGATATATATATATAAAAAAAATTAGCCGGGCATGGTGGTGCATGCCTGTAGTCCCAGCTACCCGGGAGGCTGAGGCAGAAGGATCACTGGAGCCCAGGAGTTTGAGGTTGCTGTGAGCTAGGCTGACGCCACGGCACTCACTCTAGCCTGGGCAACAAAGCGAGACTCTGTCTCAAAAAAAAAGAGGACCAGAGTTAAATAAATGGGTGTTAATCTGATGACTGCCCTTCTGTATTTCTGGGTTCCACATCTGTGGATTCAGCCAACTGCAGATTGAACATATTAGAGAGAGAAAAATGGGTGAATGGTTGTATCTGTACTGAACATGTACAGGATTTTTTTTCTTGTCATTATTCCCTAAACAATTCAATGTAACAATTATTTACATAGCATTTACCACTGTATTAGGTTTTATAAGTAATCTAGATATTAAAGACTATGGGAGGATATGAATAGGTTATATGCAAATACTATGCCATTTTATACAATATAAGAGATGGAGCATCCATAGATTTTGCTATCTGTTTCGGGGGTCCTGGAACCAGTCCCCTGTGGACACCGAGGGACAACTATATAAAGAATCCAATGTGGCCTAGGTTGTAAGTGATAACTGTAAAGTGCAATCAGCTGGAAGGCATAGTTATGAGTTTAAAAGCATTTTTTATTTTTCCTTTAAAACTTTTAGAATTTTGGTATTATAAGAAAACTTAGGGTTTATCTTATCTAACTATCCAAATGTAAACTGTACCCACCCTTTAATTGGTCCCCTTCTCTCTTCCATGCTACAAATAAAGGTTTTAATAAAGCAGTTAATTTTGGGGGGGTGGAGGGAGAAGCAGTGGCTAGAGCACAGACCACTTTGAAGGATCAAGACAAGGCCACAACTTTTCATATAATTTTGAGTATTTGACCTGTTTTGTTCTGTCAGCTCAAACCTCTTCATGGATTTAACTATATTCCTGGTATCTGCACTCCACTTCAGCCACCTTTTAGAGAATTGTATAATACTATGGTGGTGGCTATTCATATTAGCTTTCAGGTAGAGAGGAAGTAGGAATAGAATGTACAGTATTTTTGGATATTCTAAAAAGCATCAGCAATATTAATCTTTCTGTTGATGAATACAATTTTGGTCTACCTATATTTATTATTGAAAATTTTTTTAAATTGCTACTTGAACTTAATTGCTTGCTATATATATCTTGTATTATAGATGTCTAATTATCTTTGATTTGCTAGCTTATTTCTCCTTCCATTTTGTGGGGATTATATTTAATATTTATGTTTTGCCCACATTCTTTTCAACATTTAACTTTCAAAGAGCATGAGAAGAAGCTATTGGAGTACTTGATTTGGAAGCCCAAATTTTGCTAGAGTATTTACAACCTGTGCATATATTAGTATTTTTTTGGTTGTGGAAGGAATAACCTCTTTTCCATCGTCTAGACCTAGAGTATGTGTTTTAGGGACAAACTAGAATACTGTACTGGTACAGTAATTTACTAATCTTCCAGCAGATTTTATATGTCATAGAATGTTGATTTTTTTTTTTTTCCGTTTTCATTTCACTGAGAAAATTCTTCCCAAAGTAATTTTTCTCTCATTTTTAAAAAATTACACTGGTGTCCATTAAAAAGTAATTAAGAGTGCTATTATTTTTTCATACAGGTTTAAAAAACGAATGCTAATAGAACAACTGGAGAACTTCTTGGATGAAATTCATCGAAGAGCCAATCAGATCAACCATATTAATAGCAATTAAAAGAAAATAGAATGTGGCCACTTATTTCACTATCTTCTCCAAATACAAAGTAAATACAAGACTGTTGTGATCTTGGATTTGTTTTTTTTGACATGCGTTGTTGGCTATTTGAAATACTAAAAGCAGTCTACAGATCCTTTTTCCATCATTTTACAGTGACCTTTTCTTCATTTTGGTTTATTTTTGTAATGTGAAAACTATCACTCTAAAAAACATTTTTATTTAACAAACTAAAAATATTCCTCCAAATCTCTTGCTTGTCATTGACTCTTGCGTGTCAATTTCCCTCAGGTTCTATTTTCTTAAACCAACCTTTAAAATTGTCACCTCTGTTAAGGTTGAACTTTGCCAAAAAAATTAAAAAGAAGTTACTTTGTAATTTTTGGGGAAAAAAGCACATACATTAAAACTAGGTAATGTTTTGTATATACAGTTATTTTGGATATATTATTGTAAGTTGTACAAATGTATTTTGAAGAATATTTAAGAAAAGCACTTTTGTTATTCCATCAATAAATGCTCTATTTTACTCTTGTGTGGTTTAGGAAATAATCACATTTGAAGTAATCATTTTAAAAAATCCTAAGATAATGGAATTTTAAAGGCCTTGCTTTTTAGCATTGGAAAAATACACCACTTGAAGTTCATATTTGTTAAACCTAACTGTAATTACATGTTACATAATCTGCATTGTCTTTTTACTATATGTTTGTAGTTTTTGTTGGCCACGCCAGCATACTCCCATTTCTGCCTAGATAATGGGAATTACTATGTCTGTGGCAGATAGGCAGACACTTTAAAAGCTGTTTAAAGAGCAGACAATTTTTGGACATTATTGGTTTCCTTACTTCCCTTCAACCCTTTTCCTTTCTCAGTGGCGCTAAATTGAAGCTGTTAGGAAGTGGTAAGTTTGGGGTACACTGTATACTCTGAAATGTCTAGCATTTAGCAGCTTGATACCATGCCTACAAATGTCTACAACAAATTGAGGTTTCAAAAGGATTTCTTTGTTTTGTTCTGCTGTTCTCACACTTATCTCAATTTCATTTAGAAGCTAAATGGAAAGGAAACATTTAAGGAGACTTTGTTCAATTTGCATCCCCTTTGAGTTACGCAGCATAAGGAAAACCAACACTATTCGTTCTCCACCCTCAATACAACATGGTGTCTAGTGTATCCTTACTGAAGAAGTGATCCTATGGCCTGACTCACTCACCATTCATAGATCACTGCTGTGCCTTTTAAGGGGGTGGGGGTGGGGTTGCCAGTAGAAAAGAAGGTTAAAATAGATTTGGATTAAGAGAGGGCAACAGAAACTTAATAGAAGTATTTTTAGGTTTATAATATTGAAAATCATATACCCTTATCTTTTTACACTTTATCAGAACATTTTTACAAATTTTAAGAATAGCAAAATGAAGCTACAACTTTTTATAAAGAAAAGCAGCGATGAAAGTGGAGAACATGCTTGAGATCTGCTAGTTAATCTAGGGGATTTGAAACTCTCCCAGTACTGAAGACAAACCCTGTCAAGAAAAAGAAAAATTTAACATAACATTATATGGTATTTTCATATGCAATTCTTTAAAACTTGCTTACCTCTACAAAAATACCTTTAAGTAAAGCAGGATATCATTTAATAAATGGAATTGTAAAGGTAACTGCCTATAGTCACGTTGCTAAATTCAACAACTTACACAAAACTCAGAATATATTGTCTGCTCTTAAATTACATATATTTAGATTCTGAGATTAATAGGAGGGATTGAGTCTACTCCAATATTTAGCAGCTTTCCTTATCAGAAAGTTCTTATTTCCATTTCACAGGTTGCTCATGAGGTAAAAATCCTTTAGACCCTTGACATTTTAATACATTTTCCAAAATGAACCCTAGAAGGAGTTGGGAATTAGCAGTTTCTGTCTCCTCTTTTTGTCATTTGTCTCTCTGCCACTATGCTCTTCACACCTTCCTCCCAGAACCTAGTCACGAGATTTGAAACCCATCAAAACTAAACGTAATATCCCGTCTCCCTCAGTTTTAAAATGCAAATAGTTAAATTAGTGAAATACTTAATTGTAGAATTCTTGTCAGGAAAGGGAAAAAGAATATATCTGTGGTGGCAGGGGGGTGGAATATCATGTCTTTTAGGCCCCTTAGGTCATTGAATGACTTTAGGCTGGACAAACATTCTCACAAAGTTTAATCTTGAGGTTTTTAGATCACTTTTCTTAATGTTCCCTATGTGTCTCATTTGTTGACTGATTTATCTGTTGCTCTTATCAGTAAAATTTGTTAGTTTTGGGAAGTGAAGGCTGAGACTCAATTCTAATCTCTTCAATAACTGTCACCAGAAGAGTAGTCACTTTGCCATGTGATGTGCTTCCCAGAAAGGTAAATAAATTCACAAGAACTCTGCTTCTATTTGCTGCAGATTGTGGAACTGGTTTTGGATTACCCTTGTATTTTCATTCTGATTACTAAGGCAGTTCTGATAACTCATACCATTGAAATAGTGGTGTGTCTTTTCCTAGCTCAAGGATTTTCATCACTTCTATGCAGTTACCAACCTTTATTGGCTACCAGCTTTTGGCAATGACCTTTCTGCTCATTTAGTCCTGTCTCTTTGTTTCTTGAGGGAATAGAACCTGTCCTTTTTTTTAATCTTTCATTTTTTGACATGTATTCTTCCTAAGAGAGGACTCTTTGCTACCTGTTCTAGCGATAAGTGACATTTTCATTTAATCAATATGGGGTTGGGATGATCATGGTGAAATACAAGGAGGATATATTCTGTTGATGGACTTTTTTCTCCCCAAGTAATCCCCAAATAGATTATTTTCTAGTGAATGATTTTCATCCTTTTTGTCACAAAAAATGTTCCTTTGATTTCTAGCAAAAGTTATAGCAGTATGCAAATGATTCTCAGATAAAATGATGTTGACAGTATTTCCTTAACAATTTGTGTAAAACTATGCGTAATTTTCATTATTCTAACTTTTGACATTTTTTTCTCTCCATAAATAAAAGTAATGCCTGATGTTTAGTTAAAGTAGATCCACCTTTGCTTGATTTTATTAGTCTTGCTCCATCCTATTTCTCTTTAATACACTGTTTTGACTTGCCAACAACTATTTACTGAGAATCTCTTTTCCTTCCTAAGCTGATAAGTAATTGTCAGAGGGGGAGGAGGAACACTAAGAGGAATAGTTTAAATACTTTGTTCAATTTTGTGTTGAAGCTTAAAGGACATCTGCATGTCCTGGTGTACCATACCATCTTTGGATTAAGATAAGGTTGTATAGTAGGGTTTAAACATTTTGATTTTTGAGAAAGGTCAACAGAAGAATGGTATAGAAATCCAGATGCATTCACTAGCATCTTAGAGTCACTAGAGGACTACTCTGTTATACTCTTGTGACCGCAAGAACCTACCTAATTTCCAAAATGACACAAAAGCTAAGGGACAACTGAAAAAAGGCAAGGTTTATCGTTTTATAATACTTTTGCAATTTTTCTAAGTCTCTCCAGAAGTAGAAACTTGAATTTTTAAAAAAATTTACATTAACTATAAATGAACTAAGGGAACAAGAAGGCAAAAAGCACAGAGGATAATAGTTTCCTTGGTAATTATGAAATAGTCCCTTTTCTCAGCACACAAGACACAGCAACTGGGAAGCTTCTGAAGCACCATAGAAACAGCTAGAAGGAATCCTTGTTTTAGTCTGTAGTGGACAAATGAGCCCTTGTTAGGAAATACTGATAAATATTTATCTGGATCCTGTCAAAAAATACTGTAGTACCTGTATTGGGTTCTCTCAGGAAAAAGATAAATGGCCGATCTGCTTTAAAAATGGGAATCCGAGACCTTTTCAGTAACAACAGAGCTGCAGGAAAGATAAAGAATAGAAGAATCTCATTGCATTTTTAATCAAAAGAAAACCTTTATTTAAATTGGATACGAAGTCAGTTATATCCCATAATTTTTGAAGAAATCAAAGCATCCTAATGACATTTGTTTACTGTTGTGATGGGGGTGCAAATGGGAAAATTGAAGAAAAAAGATACCACTTAGCCAAGCCTGTCACCTATTTTCAACATACTCCATGGAATAAGTGTTTTATTAAAGTTAATTTTCAGAATGACTCTATTCCTTGTTTATGGGATGATGATACAAATCCTTTTCAAAATGGATATCTCTTTTCTCCCATTACTTTCCAAAAACTTTTTGCCTTCTGTTAGTATTCCTTTTTAAAAAAAATTCTGTACCACAGCTGAACTTGAGGTTTTAAATGGAAAGGTTTAGAAGTGTGGAGATTCCACTGGATAAATTTAACAAAGGTAAAAACGGGTGGTATGACTGGATACTCCCCTTTATGAACATACCTGTAGCTGCAGATGCCTTGGTGCCTTCCTCTAAAACCTCAATCTTGGCATTGTGGATCGCTTCAGAAACATAAAAGCCATCTTGGCCTAACCCCAGGAAATGACAAAAATGTGAATTGCTTATTTACATTTCTCAGTACATTTAGATTAGGACTTCAGCATATTTTAAAAGAATGTCCTTACAAAACTTCAGTATCCAATGCTGCTTATTATATAGCTAGGGAGAAATTATTTGCTTGGAAAATTCTTAAGGTTCAATATTTTATACAACTTTCAAAACCTTAATTTGTTAAATTTATGTCATCTCTCTGAAAGTAATATTCAGAGTATTGCCTCATCTTTTGAATGGTTAATTTTCAAAAATGATATCTACTTAAAAACTCTCCTTCAGCCAGTATTTCTAAAACCTTAGTGGTCATAAAAATTGCCCAAGTGGGTGTTAAAATACAGAATCTGTAGCCCAGGTATTATTTTCAGCAAGCTTCTGAGTCGATTTTCCTTGACTGCCTTCTTAGACTGCATTTTAAGAGCCACATTTAAATGACAAGTCACAGGTTTATATTATGGGCTTTATTAAGAGGCATAATTGGGTGTATTAAAAATGTGCCTAATATTGCATGACTGCATTCTGTATACTCAGGTTATACCAGTTATGTAATTAGCTTGTCTCATGGGCCAGAATCTGCAAAGTGAATGAGAGGTTAGTATAATTATCTGTGTGCTGACAGTTTCAAAGATAAAAGCTTAGCAAATAGGATTATGAGTGATAGCTTAGAGGAATTGACAGATGTTGGTAATTTAACTATTAACCATTGTTAAACAACTCTCCAAAGATGAAATGGTACTTGATGACACAGTATAGAGTGAATGACATAATGTTTAGAACCAGAAGAAACTATATTCACTGTCAGGAATGGTTATTTTTCAGCATCAGTGAAGGGACAGGTGAGGACCAGAAGAAGGGAAAAATCAATAGAAACATTCACTTGTACTAAAACCAGTGAAGAATCTAATTTGTTTTTGCAGTTGGTCTTTTTCTGTAGGATCTTTGAGAAAAGAAAAACAAATTATCAGTAATTAGCCTCTCTTACCAGCTCATTGAACAAACTGAAATGCAGTGCCAAAATTACAAAGAAAAGGTTATGGATAAAGAATGTTGCTTTGACAGTCATGAGAAGGTTCTACTCATCTCTGTGGCTTTGTTGCTATTTAGGATGGTGTCTGAACATTTTAAATGAATGTTGAGGAAATGAGCAGATGTTCACAATGGAACTCCTTATCAGCAAAAATACGTGTCTGTGTTAGGGTATGTCTGTGTTAGTCTAGGCATCTCTACACTGTGAGAAATGGGACCAATTGATATGAATGAGTCTTCGATTGGATGGGCTGGGCTATTTCATTTTTTAAAAAACTGCAACTGAAGAGTTTCAATTGTTGTTTTCATCAGACTGCAGAAGTGGTCTGATAATTGACATTTCTATGTTTGCACAGCCATTAAGCCAAGACCCAGAGCCTGGCATGACTCAGCATCAGCAGCTCTTAAATTTTATCTCTGGCAAGAGTTGACATTTCAAAAGGCCAACATGTGTGATAAAAATGAGAATTTGCGAGTCGTCTCTGGGTTTGTGTTTTTCCTCTTAATCTTATATTACAGATTCCTATTGAATCTTACTCCTTATTTATCCTATTCCTTATTTTTTTGTTTAGTAGCTATTGAAATACTACTCAACTAATGAAATCAGCCTAAAAGAAGTCAAGCACAAAGGGGTTCAACTGGTTTTTTTCTCCTTCCCTGAAGTGTTGGCAGCTGCTTAGTGCCATTGAGGGGCATATAACCTATGTTCCCAAAAATTTGTTCTCAAGATTTGTTTATAGGAGGCATTCTGTAAAAGGGGTTCCATGACTTATTCAATGTGGGAGATGCAAGTTAAACATGTTTGCACTTTTGTTCTTAGTAGGAGAAAGAGCTGCCAATTTGCTAGCATTTGTGGTGAATCTCTACAGGAGGATTACAATACCTAGTGCTTAACCATGGAACCACCCACACCATCCTCTGTCCCCAGATTTACCAGCTTAGCATTCTGGGGGACATACTTTGGGAAACTGTAGTCCACCATAAATTTATTTGCTCCTACATTACATTCAATATCCAAAGGAAAGGGGTGAGATTCTTCCTAAACCCTCTCCTGGCATAATCTCCGCTCCTCTTCCATTAACATCTTCTATAGGTGTTACCTTCCTCTTTAGACTCTTCCCTCCTAGAAGGCAGAAAGGATGTCTTGTCCATTTTAAATGTTTCTTTGACCAACTTGCATAATAATGCTTGGTACATATTTATGTTTAGTAAATGTTGGATGAATTAGTAATAGCCCTCACACTGTCCATTTGTTCCTTTTCCCCATAAAAAAAGCTTCTTTAACGTTCTTTAACCTGATTTCACTTGTAAGAAAATGTTGATTGGTGTCTGGAAAATTTTAAGGGCGTAGCATAGAGTGGGTCTTCTGCAAGTTTCAGCCAAGTGACTGTCTAAGGGCCTCCTACCTCATTGTTAGTGGAAACGATTATACTCTCAGAAGGTTTAGATCTTCATAACATGACATTGTGTAAACACAGATTTACTAAATATAAATTAATGTCCCTACATTTGATCCTTAGCTTCTTATAATGCAAGATAAACATACCTTCTTGTCATTTAATTGCTAAAAGATGGGGGCAGGGTGTGTGTATGTGTGCACGTGTATGCAAGCACGTGAGTCAGAGAAGTAGCACTCAGCCCAGGATCTAGAGCAGGGGTCCTCAAACTTTTTAAACAGGGCCAGTTCACTTTCCCTCAGACCGTTGGAGAGTGCACATTGTGGGCCCGTGACGAGTTGGCTGCTAAGCAGGACAGGCAGTGGCGGCAAAAACACCCGGAAGGCCAGATAAATGAGCTAGGCAGCCCGCATGTGGCCCACAGGCCATGGTTTGAGGACGCTAGAGAGAAAGCGGTAAGAAGCATCTGAGATGGCCTTTGAAAATAGGCTGTGGTTAGTTTCTTTCTCCATCCATCTCCCCCAGCCCACTCCTCACCTCTTTCTATTGAGCTCTGAACAGACATCTGATGGGGCGTAATTTATATACTCAACCAAACCACTCTTGGTGGTTTGCTCATTTAAGTTCTAATGACATAGAGCAGAGATTGCCAAGAACAAGACAGTTTCCTCAAAGTTTCAAGTTTGTGCACAAGAAATATTTCCTGTGTTAAGACTAAAGGTCTCTATCAAAGCCTGCTGATCCATCCTTAGCTGGTATCTTCAGTGGGGGTGAAACTGAAGTTTCACACTTGAGTTGTGATGGGTGGAGGGAAGGTGAGTTTGCTGTGTCCTGTGGCCATACTCTTAGAAGCTTCACAACAACTAGTGTCAAGGGGGTGGGGGGAGGAAATTACACCCTGAGTTCAGTTGGGCCTTGAAATGATAGGGAGTTCTCCCTGCCCCCTGCTTTTTTTTTTTTTTTTTAATTGAGTGAGTTCTTTAGGCAGCAAAAAAGGATTTGATGTCAAGAAAGAAGAGACAAATGACTCTTAAATGGGAAAGGAGAACTTGAGTAAAATAATTCTGGGCTTTGGAACCCAAAAGCCAAAGGTTCCTGTGGTGGTTGGGCTTCCATCAAAAGCACAAAACTGCTCTCTTACCAGCTCATTGAATAAACTGAAATGCAGTGCCAAAATTACAAAGGAAAGGTTATGGATAAAGAATGCTGCTTTGACAGTCATGAGAAGGTTCTACTCTTAACTGGGGGAAGGGACACCAGCATTTTCTGATCCCTGGTGAGATCTCAGCTCATGCTGTGCTACAGATTATGAAATCATTTAAACCGTTATACAGTGAAGGTGTGGGACGGATGATGGCTACCCCCATTTTGGGAATGAAGAAACCATTTCTTGGAGAGATTCTGTGTCCCTGTTTCTAGAATAATGTCAAAAACCCACTTGGGCACAGAAGTGATTAGTCTCTTGATTACGTTTAACGAAGAGCATTGGAGAGCAATACTTTACTTGGCAAACTTTTTCTATAAAGGGCCAGATATTGAGTATTTTAGCCACTGCAGGCCATGTGGTTGCTGTCCCAATTACTCAACCCTGCTATTGTAGCAGGAAAGCAGCCACAGATAATTTGTAAATGTATGGGAGTAGCTATGTTATAATAAAACTTGGTAGGCCATGGTTTGCTGACCCATGCTTTAAAGAGGAACAAAACTTCACGGGAGAAGGTTACAAGGCTGGCATGTTTTGTCAGTAGGAAACATCCAAACAAGCTGCACACTTGGCTTGTGGTAGCTGCCTGGTAATTATTGAATAAGCCAGATCCATGAGCCTATATTTCTGCTGGTTTGAACGAATATAAGGAGACTTGAATTGCATTACAAAAAAAGAGATTACGTATCAAAAAAGGCACTTGCTTATTAGATCTTGTCAGAGGAGCTTATTGGAAGTCTTTACCAACAGGGAAGCTGCACAGTGTAGGCTCAGATCAGTCCTGTTTGAGGACTCAGGATTGATGGCATTTTAGGATATATTTCTAGGACACAAAAGCAGAGAGATTTAAGGGTTATGAAGTAGGCCATAATGATTAATTGAATGTAGTGGTGTGGAAGAAAAGGTCAAGAATGGCCCTAAAGCTCTGAACTAAGATGATCAAAAGATGAATAGAAGTGCCATCAACAACAGGGATTTCAATGGCTGAGCTCTGGAATCACAAGAAGATGCTGTGATTGGATTGCGCATGTTATCATAAATAACGCACTTAAGGTCTTTATCTTTTACTCTTTCCTTGCCCTCTGCTCTTTTCACTCCAGTATTCCTCCTTTCCCTGCACTGTCAGTAGGAAAAGTTTCTTGTTGAGTCATTCTACCAAGTACACAATATTTATTGGGTATCTAACTGGATGCCAAGCATTGTCATGGGCACTATGCCCAAACTCAACTATTGTTTTGCTTATCTCTTTGCTTGCTTAGGCAATGAGTACAGAGCTGGTGCATTTTAAACACCCTAGAATAGATCCTTCCTCCTCTATTTTATTTGATAAGAAACTCTATCAGTCAATCTGGTCACATCTGAAGCCCAAGCCAAGACTTCTCTTGTGGGTCAAAATCTCATTTTTTTTCCCTCTGATTCCCTAAGAAGGAAGATTCTGAGCAATGCTTTAGAAAACTCTGCAATTTATTAAGCCAGTCTGTTGCATTAAAAAAAAAAAAAAAAGAAAAAGAAAACTCTGCAATATGATGTTCTCACGTTCAAAATAATGATTTTCAAGCTCATCAGGTAAGGGAAATGTCAGGGCCAATGAAAATACCAGCTACAGTGTCATCTTTGCAGAGATAATTTACTATCCAGGGTAGAAACAAACCTGAACCTTTGTATTGGCAGTAGTTTGGCCAATGGCGTCCTGAGAGGATTCTGGAACATAGGTTCTGGCATTCCACTCCCCTTTTATATTTGATATAAGTCCCCTATCAGATCACAGGCAAACACAGCCCCTATTGATCGGTAGTAGCATGTCAACTAAGAAATTCAATATGGATGCTGGGAGGGAGATCATTTTAAGGCAAGGCCACAGGAGCACGTGTAATTTGAAGAAAGGAAAGTGGATAGATGAGGGAAAGTTTCAAGGCTAGTGTGTTAGAAGAGGACTGAGGCATAAGAGAGGAGGGAGGAAGGGAGGGAAACAGAAACAAAGGGAGACCATGAGGCTGGCAGGACAGCAGGAGGTTAGGATGAAGAGTGCTATAGTGGCACCAGTATCTTTGGTGCCCACTAGTCATGATGGGCAGAGGGAGCTGACTGCTGTGTCCTACGGCCATCAACCACACTGTGAAGCTGGTCTCCCAAAACCGTGCTTAAAGTTCTCAAGAAACATCCCTTCCCCACAAAGTCTAACCCCAATTTGACTGTTATCATAAGCAACACACTCTTAGATGAAACAAAGCACTTTCTTTATGCTTTTATACAACGTTGACTCTGTTTACCACTGAAGACTATGTAAAAACAATAAGAATCCCTTAATCAAAGTATGATCAAACAGCCCCAAACACAATGCCGAAAAGTTTGGAAGAAGAACTGTTGTTACCTGAAATTCCTTTCAAGTTGGCTTTGAGTGGATCAAAAAGATCAGTGACTCCCCAAGAATTTAAAATACTTTTTAAGTTGAATTGATTTTGGATCCTAAATCTGAAAAGCAAAAACAAACCATCAACTTTCATTTAAAATTCTCACTCAATAGACTTTCCTAAAGTCCCTAACTTGGGTGTCAGGGTCCAGCAGGTTCACTTGGTCTTCCATTGCTCCTTCCCATCAACCCCACCAGCGACTAATCTGACCACCCATGGCTCTTTGCTCCCTCTGCCCCTTTGTTCACACTGTTCCTTCCAAGTCCCTCCCATTTCCTTTGATTGCCTTTTAATTATTATACATTTTTCAATTGTTACCCCCTTCTCTCCAGCTGTTTTGCGAACTTTGGTTCCCAAAGCCCCATTAACACTTCGTTCTACTCTTAGATGTGTAGAACATTTGCTTCTGATTACCATTATTTATGATATTGTAAACTCCCTGAGAAGAGAGGCCATCCCAATTCATTTTCTTTCTTACTAATGAATTTTTCACTGGGAGGCCAAGGTGGGCAGATTGCTCGAGGTCAGGAGTTTGAAACCAGCCTGAGCAAGAGTGAGACCCCGTCTCCACTATAAATAGAAATTAATTGGCCAACTAATATATATAGAAAAACTTAGCCAGGCATGGTGGCGCATGCCTGTAGTCCCAGCTACTAGGGAGGCTGGAGGCAGGAGGATTGCTTGAGCCCAGGAGTTTGAGGTTGCTGTGAGCTAGGCTGACGCCATGGCACTCACTTTAGCCTGGGCAACAAAGTGAGACTCTGTCTCAAAAAGAAAAAAAATTTCATGAGTGCTTATATTGTGCGAGGCACTGTGATAAGAGCTTTATGTGAATTATCTTATTTCATTTTCATGTTATTATTATCCCCATTTTACAGATGGAAACATTGAGACTTAAAAGAGTTTAAAAACCTTGCCCATGATGACATAATGAGTGCGTGATGGACTTCAATTCAAATCAAACCCATGCTCTGATCATCTACGCCTGTGGTCCCCACCCCCTGGGCTGTGGTGGGGCACCGGTCTGTGCCTGTCAGGAACTGGGCCATGCATCACCACCCGAGCTCTGCCTCCCCATCCCATGGAAAAAATTGTCTTCCATGAAACTTAGGAACTGGCTCATAACAGGAGGTGAGTGGCAGGTGAGCAAGCACAGCCTCCTACCCCACCAAGTCCCTCCGCCCCCATCTGCCCGTCCTGTCCATGGAACGATTGTCTTCCATGGAACTGGTCTATGGTCGCCAAAAAGGTTGGGGACTGCTGATCTACACTTTGCTACCTTCCATCTCATGTGGCATCTCACACATAGTAGGTGCAGAAAAGGAGTTGTTGACTAATTCTGAATAGAGTGTTATATTTGGTAAGCTATATTCTTACGTTGGCTGCATCCAATGTGTGCTTTTGCTGCACAGCAGAAAAGAATGCAACTTAAAACCTTGGTTTTTCTTGTAAGTCCCGTGAGCAAAAAGAATCAGCACACCAACTTTATACTGTTTCCCCAAGGGCAAGGCATTTAGAAATTTACTGTTGAAGGATCCTTTAAAAGGGCAGCTGCTATTATTTTCCTTTGCAAATAAAAAAGTTCAAAATGGAATTTGGATGGTCTTTTTCTATAAATAACGCAGTATTTGCAGGAGAGTAAAAATACCCGACAAGACCATTTAACATTAAAAGGTCTTTACGGCTATGCAAGATGATGTGACCAATATTTTAAACAAAAGTATCAGACTTTTCTCATAAAGGTATGTTTTGAATCTTCAGATTAGTTTCCAAGAAAGAAATGTGCTTTCTCCAAGGATACTGACATTTCTCAAAAAATTTTAGGACCATCTCTTATGAAATTTTCTTAAGTACTGAAAACACATCTTTTTTGAAACCTCAAAATGGTGAAACAGTGGTTAAGAAAGAGCATGAACTTGGGACTCCAGTGCCTGAATGTGAATCCTGGCTCAGCCTCTTATTCAGCCGAGGAACTAGTTACTTTACCTCTGGGGCAAGTTCCTTTACCTCTTTCTGCCTCAGTGTACTCATTTGTGAAACAAGCATAACAATAGTGCTTGTTCACAGGGTTGTAAAAATCAGATGAAATCATCTTTGTAAAATGCTCAGGATAAGCCCCAGAACAGCCCATGCATGCTCTTACACTGCAATTTTACTGTTGTTTCTCCATGATATTGAGAAAGAGTTAAGGGCTGTTTGAAACCAAATATGGTGATTTTGGTGGGTGATAAAACTGGATAATATTATTTTTAGTAAGCTAAAAGCAGCAGTAAAAGTGAGGTATGACTATAAAGATTAGAGTGATTGTCTTGTATAGCTATAAAGGCAGATGCAAAAGAAATTCTACAAAAATAGTTTGAGTGGAAAAAAAAACCCACCCTTTACGAAAACCAGAAAAGGATATTACAAGAAAAGAAAAGAAAAAAAAAAAAAACTACAGACCAATATCCCTTGTAAATATAGATGCAAAATCTTCAACAAAATACTGCTAAATTGAATCCAGCACCATATAAATCCCACCGTGACCAAGTGGGATTTATCCCAGGAATGCAAGATGGGTTCAAATCAATTAATATAATATAACATATTAATGGAATAAAGGACAAGGCCACATGACCATATCAATAAGTGCAGAAAAAGCATTTGAGAAAATCCAACACCGTTTCATGATAAAAAAGAAAAAAAAAACAGATAAATATCAAACACTCAACAAACCTGGGATAGAATGTAACTTTGCCAATTTGATGAAGGATGTCTACAAAAAACTCACAGCTAGCATTGTACTTTACAGTGAAAAACCAAAAGCTTTCTCCCTACAATCAGGAACAAGATAAGGATGTTCACCCTAAGCACTTCTATTTCACATTGTACCAAAGGGTGGGCAGGGCAATACATGAGAAAGAGAAGGCATCTAGATTAGAAAGGAAGAAGTAAATTCATCTTTATTCACAGAGAACTTTGTCTTATGTATGAAAAATCCTAAATAATCCATTAGAGCTAATAAACGAATTCATCAAGGTGGCAGCATACAAGATCAATATACAAAAATCAATTGTGTTTCTATACACTAGCAGTGAATGATTTGAAAATGAAATTAGGAGAACAATTCCATTTACAATAGCATCAAATGGAATAAAATACTTAGAAATAATTTAACAATTAGAAATAAATTTAACAAAAGAAGTGTAAGACTTGTATATGAAAACGACAAAACATGGTTGAAAGAAACAAAGACTTACGTAAAAGGAAAGACATCCTGAGTTCATGACTTGGAACACTTAATATTGTTACAAAGCAATGCTCCCCAAATTGACCTACAGATTCGACAGAATCCCTATCTAAATCCTTCCTGCCTCTGTGGCAGAAATTGACAAGCTGATCCTAAAATTCATATGGAAATGCAAAGGGTCCAGAATAGCTAAAACCATCATGAAAAAGAAGAACAAAGTTGAAGTACTCACACTTTCTGATTTCTAAACTCACTATCAAGCTACAGTAATCAAGACTGTGTGGTATTAGCAAAAGTATAGACATTTATGCCTACAGAATAGAATTGAGAGTACATAAATAAACTCATACATTTATGGGCAATTGATTTTTGACAAGGATGCCAAGAAAATTTAATGGGGGAAAGAATAGTCTTTACAACAAATGGGATTAGGACAAAAGGATAGACACATGCAAAAGAATGAGGTTGGCCCTCTACCTTACACCATATGCAATAATTAATTCAGTGGATTAAAGATCTAAATATAAGAGTTAAACCTATAAAATGCTTATAAAAATATAGACATAAATCTTTGTGACCTTGGTTAGGCAATGGTTTCATAGACATGACATCAAAAGCACAAGAAACAAAAGAAAAAAGAGATTCATTGAACTTCATCAAAATTAACAACTTTTGACTTTCAGAAGACACCATCAAGGACGTGAAAAGAAAACCTACGTAATGGGAGAAGAGATTTACAAATCTTATATCTGATACGGGACTACTATTCATAATAAATGAAGAACTATTACAATTCAACAATAAAAAGACAACCAATTTAAAAATGGGTAAAGGATGTGAAATAGACATTTCTCCAAAAAGGATATATAACTAGCTAAGAAGCACATGGAAAGATGCTTTACATCATTAGTCATTAGGGAAATGCAAATGAAAGCCACAGTGAGATACCACGTCACATGGCCGAGAGTGGCTATAATTAAAAAGATGGACAATAACAAGTGTTGGCAAGGATGTGCAGAAATTGGCCTCCACAAACATTGCTGGTGGGAGTGTAAAATGGCACAGTTACTTGGAAAACAGTCTGGCAGTTACTCAAAATGTAAAGTGTAGAATTAACACGTGACCCAGTAATTCTATTCTTAGGTATATACCCAAAATAATTGAAAATATATATCCACATGAAAATGTGCACATGAGCCAAAAAATCTCTTGGTACCCAAATAGCTATAAATTGATGAATGGGTAAACAAACTGTAGTAGATCCATACAGTGGAATATTATTCAGCCACAGAAAGGATTGAAGTAATGATTCATGCTACTATGAACCTTGAGAGTATTATTCAAAGAAGCCATACACAAAAGTCCACATATTGTAGGATTTCGTTTACATGAAATGTCCAGAATAGGCAAATCTATACACAGACAAAGCAGATTAGTGGTTGCCAGGGGCTGGGGTAGGGGTGTGCTGGGGCGTGCCTGCCAATGGGTATGAGGTTTCTTTTTGAGGTGCCAAAAATATTCTGGAATTAGATAAGTAGTGACGGTTGCACAACCTTGTGAATTGTGTACTTTAAAAAGTGAATTTTATGGTATGCAAATTATATCTCAAATTTTTTAAAAAGAAAGAAAACTCCCTTAGAAAAGCATAAAACACACAAGATGATCAGCAGCAGCTCCTTGAAGGAGGGCAAAGCATTCTTTATATGGGACCTCTGGTGGGTTAAAAACACACGTGCATGTCATATGTAACATAAAAATGCTCATGGTCTGCTCCCTACTATGTTGACCTAATAACCAAGTATTTTATTCATTAAATACGTATTTGACATTATTAGTCTCTCTTGTGGGGCATTATATGATTATGGCTATAAATGACCCTTAACACTCATTCTTGGTTTTCTTGATTATTTCTTTAGTATGCTAAATGTCCCTAATGAAGACTAACAGTCCCTATGCATTTTACTTTATTTCTTTGTAAATAAAGGGTTACTTTGGAAGCTAGACATCATAAATGAAAAGTACAATATGACTACAGAGCAGGTGATACCAAATGATGAATGAATGATTTGAAAGAGCTAGCCCAAAAGCTGACTTTGTGTCTACCACAATCCAAAGTTTATACTTAATCTAGACCTTAAAACAATTTTTACTTCTTTTTCTGTTTTCTCTCTAGTGGATTTAAAGCTAGCATTTTTTCTTTTGCTTGGTTAGTTTTGCTTGTGAAATAGGCTCATTTTCTTGAAAACGGCTATCCTTCTTGGACAGCAGGTTTGACAGTCTTAGGGAGATTAAAAAAAAAAAAAAGAATCAGAACAAGGTCAAGTGTTAACTACTAGTTGAATTACTAAGATCCCTGCCTTTCAGCTCCTTCCCTGTCCTCTGTTTGTCAGATCACCACTCCAGGGTTTGACACAGAATTAGTGGTGGTGGAGCGTTCTCAGTGGAGCTGGGTGGTTTATTTTTTGAGACACAGTCTCACTCTGTTGCCCTCGCTAGAGTGTCCTGGCGTCAGCCTAGCTCACAGCAACCTCAAACTCCTGGGCTCAAGCAATCCTTCTGCCTCAGCCTCCCAGTAGCTGGGACTACAGGCATGCGCCACCATGCCTGGCTAATTTTTTCTATATATATATTTTAGTTGGCCAATTAATTTCTTTCTATTTTTAGTAGAGATGGGGTCTTGCTCAGGTTTCAAACTCCTGACCTTGAGCGATCCTCCCTCCTCGGCCTCCCAGAGTGCTAGGATTACAGGCGTGAGCCACCGCGCCCCACCCACAGCCCACATTTTCTCTCTACTTTTGACATCGAAAGCCCCTCCCCCTTCTCTCGCTGAGCTTCTCTCAAATATAACAGGAAGATCATGGTTGCTTCTGCTCCATGCCAGAGAGATCTGTTGAAATAGCCAGTCTTTGTGCTTTGATTTGGGGTTTTAGTTTTGAGAGAGAGACTTTACCTAGTTAAGTTCACCTTCTGCCCTGGGCTATGCCAGATCCCTCTTTAGACCTTGGCCCTTAACTCGCTGGGTCTCTCTCCGTATGTTTCCTTCCAGTTGTACGTTTCCTTCCAGTGCATGGGCTTATTTTTAACTCCGCAGGGGAGCACTGCCAAGGCCCCGGGCGGTGGAGGAGGGCCAAGGCGGCGAGTGGGCAGCAGCACGAAGAATTCACATGCTGAAAATGAGCCCTGGACAACGTCCCTTGCTTAATGCTGGTCCACAAATGGGTTATAAATTTACTCTGATTCAACTGTTCTGGAGAAGCTCCTCACTTAAAGCAGTCCTGAGAGGAATGCTGTTTAAAAGTAATGAGTTAAGCTAATAGGTTTTGCTTTGGAAAAGCAAAATCAAGGGCCATCACTTAACTTTTTCGAAATTTGTATTTGTACCTACTGGCATTTCTTACAGGAGGATTCACCTCCATTTAGAAAGAATGAGAACCTTCTGGACAGAGACTTCAGGTCTCAAATGTTTATGCCTTAATTTGGCTTCTGATCAAAATTATATCTGTCTTTGCTCAATTACATAAGCCATCTTGGTTTAGGGAAAACGACAGCTGTATACTCTTAGGATGGGATAAGATTTGGGGCCCGTTCCTACAAAGGAACCTCACTCACTGCACTTCTTCCTCTGCCCTGAAAACTGGTTGGGGCCTGAGGCCGGATCAGGGGGCCTGGGAGCTCCAGTCTGGCCCAGCCAAGGCCCCAGGAAGTTAGTTCATTTCAGTCTGTGCCGTGAGATAGTCAGCAGTGACTCTGGCATGGACTCAAATTCTAGGGTCACTTTCCCTTGGCCTAACCTCTATGAGTCCATTAGACCAGTCAGCCCAGTGGTTAGGGACAGACCCAACCGTCAGACCACGCGGGTTCAGTGCAAGCCTCAGAGCACCCTGCCGGGGATGCAGCTGCTCACCTGGGGAGGAACACGTCCATCCTGGCTCTCCTCAGGCTGGTGGTCCAGAGGTGGATGATGCTGGCTGTGAGGTGTGGCTCAATGTGGCCCAGGAGGACGTCTTTGTCTCGGGGCAGCACCAGGATCAGGCTCGCCACACTTCCCAGGTAAGGCAGCTCCAGCACCCCCACCTGATGGCCTGCGGCGTCCTGGAACTGACCTGGGGGTTCAGTGGGTCAGGGATGAGCTCTGTCCTGGGAGCCAGGGCAACCGCGCGGTGCCAGCCCCGGGAGAGGCTGACGCTCGGAGCTGGATACAGCAGAACGGGGCATGCACCTTGCTTTCCAGAGGCAGTTCGAAGCCAAAGTCTGCTGGGTGATATGCTCACTTTTTCTGATCCTAAGACCTAGAATCTGAGGGCCCAAGTCAAAGGCCCTGCAGTTGGCTGGGCGTGGTGGGGACAATGGCACACGGAAGAACCATATATCTCCCCCTGAAGCCTCAGGGGACATGTTCCAAGACCAAACCCTATAGATACTGTTTCTTTCGATCTGGTAAGAGACGGCTGCTACATGACAAGCGGGCAGGTATCATAGCCAGCGCGGAGGCGCTGGACAAGGCTATGGGTCACGTCCCGGTGGGGTTGGGACAGAGCAGGACAGTGAGAGATTTCATCATGCTACTCAGAACACTGTGCAATATAAACCTTAAGAAATGCTTATTTCTGGAATTTTATTATTTTCACTTATGGGTAACTGAGGCCTTGAAAAGTGACACCTCGTACATATAAGGGGGACCCCTGTCTCAAAGGGGCAGCCAGTCCAATCCCAGGCCATGTGCCTGCCAGGGCGGGCTGTTTGGTCCAAACAGTTTTGCATTCTCATGATCCCCTCGTTTGCTAGGTGCAGAAGGAAATGTCAAGCGTAGAAGTGGGGTTCACCTCCCTGTCTGTGTCCTCACTGTCCTGTGGGAGCACACAGTGCAAAGCCCCTCCCCAGCATCCCGGCTCCCCCAGCCCTGTCTTTCCTCCCGCCACAGGCCAAGTCCAGCAGGTGGAGCCCGTGGAAACGCATCCGGATCTTCACGAGCAGAGGCTGGCCTCCTCCTTCCTGCCCAGGCTTCCTCCCCCTTCCACGGGCCAGCGGGGAGGGGCTCACCGTAGTTGACCTCGGCCATTTGGTGCATCATGGGGACCTGGAGGACCAGGCCGGGGGCGCAGGTGAAAGGCAGGAGCTTCGTGTCTGTGGGGGAGAACCTCTTCCGCCAAGTGCCTTGGAAGGACATGGTGCTCACAAGCGCCAGCTGCGCGGAGGCCGCGCCGGCCTGCCCCCCCTGCGAGCCCGCGGGGCCCCCACCTGCAAGCGGGAAAGCAAGGGGGTTAACGTCCGCTCGGATTGAACTGAACCCTACGTGTGTGGACGAGGAGTGCACAGTTAAAATGCAAAAGTTAACATCTTTTTTGGTAAGGTGGTTTCTCTTTCTTTGTTTTACCATGTCTTTGCAATTTAAAAAAAAATGTTTAATTTTTAAATGGCTACTGGGGACCAAAAGCCACAGGAGCTGTTCCCAACTCCCTGCTGGAGGGGGCATAAGGGAAGAATGGAAAGCGAGGATTCAGAAGTCAGACTGGGTCCCTGACACCTGCACAACTGCACTGGGGGGCAGGGAGATATCTCGGAAGTTGGGTTTGTAGCCTACTTATTACTCTCTATTATTGTGAATCAGTATGTGTTTATAACCAGCTGTTGCTGAAGACCATGCTTTTTATTCTTTCCTGAACAGACTGGGGTGCTTCTCTGATCCTATCTGGGGCATGTCCCAGGAATCATTAGATGTTCCCTCCCCAGGCAGATCCCTGGAGCCACTAGGTGCTGTGATGGGGAGGTGCCAGAGTGTCGCCCAAGCCTGCCCACCGCCCCACCGCCGAGCCACGTCTCTTGCTAAGCCTTCCCCTACACCGCGTTCAGGGCACGGCGATTGGAGGGCTGCAGTTAAAATTTCATGCGTAACCAGAAAGAGGGGCAGACAGTCCACCCATAAAGGGACAGTTTTTGTCCCAGCCCTTTATTTGTTTAATAAGCACATACCATGTGCTAGGCTCTGTTCTACATGTTCTAACAAATCCCCTCAACTCCTCCCAACAGTTCCATTGTTATCCCCATTTCACAGATGAGGGAACTGAGGCTCAGAGAGGTTGGCCAAGGTCACATATTCTTGTGAAGTGAAGCCACCATCCACCCAGTTACCCAAGACACCCTAGATTTGAACCCAGCAGCCTGGCTCCACACTCTGCTCTGAGTGGTACAAGAAGCTGACACAGGGAATTAAATATTTTAAAGAAAATTAAAAAGATATGGTAAAACACAGAGAGAAAATCTTATCAAAAAAAGATGTTAAGTTTTGGGTTTTAACTCTGCACTCCTTATCCACACACACATATTGTTTTCAGTTCCATACATACCACTTTCTATTCTGTTTTTTAAACACATTGGGTCTTGAATATTCTCCATATCTTTGTAGCTTTTGTAATTATCAAGAGCACTTGAGCCAGACCATCTAGGCAGAATCCTGGCTTTGTAGACCCTGGGCAGGAGGCTGAACCCTCTGTACCTCGGTTTCTCCATTTGTAAATGGGCACAGTACTAGCACCTACCTCCTAGAATTAGTGTGAAGGTGAACTGAGACAATAAACTTGGAGCAGTGCTAAATAAATTAAACACAGTAAATGTTAACGATTTTCCTCGTCTTTAATAATAATTACAACCGCATAATATGCAGGTGCTGGGCCTCACTAAGTCATCCCTAATTGCCGGACAGTTAGGCTGTTTGAGTAATGAGTCTTTTTCATCAATAACACTGGGCTAAACATCTCATTGCACATGACTTTTTCTTCTCTTGAATTATTTCCTTAGCCTAAATTCCCAAGAAGTCACTTTTTTGGCTCCTGCTGCATTTTGCTGTTGCCAGGGGTTAATTGCAGGTGAGACCGGAGCTCAGTGGGAAGTCACCTGGGGGGGACAGTTGCATGGACAAAGCCTGCATGGTCCACCTGGACATGGGAGGTTCAAAGAGCCTCCTCTGTGTGTCTGTGTGCTCGTGTGTGTGCACGCATGCGCATGTGCACGCGTGAGTGGGAGGGTCACGGTGGGAGGGGAGGCAGAAGGGCGCCACAGATCAGCTGCGGCTCCTTCACAGAACATGTCTCTCAAGGGTAGAGTCTCCCAGTAGGACAAACGCCCACTGCCATGGAGCACTCATGACTTCTGACAAGTGACGGGTCATACTCTGCCTTTGCAGCCCTCTGACCTTAGCCTGGAGGAGGTGGATGGGTGTCTTTTACCTGCAGTCTGTCTGGAGGCCCCTGCGCCGGCGGGGATGATGATGGCGGTGCCGTTGGGCTCGCTGAGGTTGGCCGGCTCCAGGCTGCTGTTGGCCCACCAGGAGACCTGCTCCACAAAGCAGGGGGACAGCGGCGTTCCCACTTGCACAAAGAGTCTGCAGGCCAGCTCCATCTCGGCACCGTGGCTGCAGTTGGGTCGTGAGGCATACACAGCATGCAAGAAGTCTTTCACCTTTTGGTCTGTGAGAAAGGAGGAGGGGTAAGTAGACGATGGTGAGTGTAAGGAGGCGGCTCGTTGCATTAAAGGGACCCCAGCAGCTCCACTCTTGTTCCCTAAGGTTCATCCACCGTATTTGGTCAGTCTGGAAAGTCATAGCTAATCTGCTAAGGAGCCAGACTGGATCCACAGACTAAAACTTGGGAAGAAACCATGCCAGATCTGAAAGAAATCAGGCTGTGATGGAGTCAAATAGAAAGACACGATCCACACCCGGTGCATGCCTACAGACTATTCTTTGCTAACTGCCTCATTCAGGAACCAGTTCTAGGGTAAAGACTCTAGGGTTGGGAAAACAGCAGGTCCAATGTGCTGGGTGACGGAGTTTCAAATACTTGCGAAGTCAAGAGATTTATGTGCCATGTCGTAAGTGACAATGATGGGCGGTGGCTGGGATGTTGCACTGTCGATATATTTTATACAGGGGCCTTAAATCCATCCCCACAGCTGTATGTCACGAGCCTGAGTGACATTTGCATGCAACCTCTTTCAGAATTGTGTTTGCAATTTGAGAAATGCAGAGGAAAGGTGAGAACTCCTCCCAACCCCTCTCCCTGAGACCCAGCAGACAGCTGGCACTATTAATGTCAGTGAGGAACTGCGAGAATGCTGAGGAAATAATAAGCATTTGAGACAGTCGATAGCTTCCACCTTCTTGGGTGGCAGCAGGACTTCTATTTATTTACTCTCTATTTATACAGGAGATTGCTTCCTTCTCTCCATAATCAATAGTGGGTTTTGTTTTCAGCTGTTATTCACAAGCTACGCCCTCTATGCTCCCATAGGCATCCTGTAGCTGGAACGAGGCCTCCTGCCCACCGGTGAGTCTGAACACAGTCGATACCCCAAGCCTCCCACCCCTGACACCTGCAAGCTGGGTGTTTCCAGAAGTGAAGTCCCTTGCTGTGCAGGCTGTCTCTGGAATTCAGCCTTTCCCTCCTCTTCATCACCCTCCTCTCTCTTAGGCACAGCCCTGCAGCTGCCCATAAACCCTCCCTGTGAGACACAATGCTGGGTACCTCTTCCTGCGCCATCTGGCCCCAGCTCGCTCTCATTGAGATGAATCTGTCACTTGCTTCGGAATCTGTCCACTCTGACACCTTTCATGTTGCAGAGGCCAAGCCAGGAGGCAGCAGCGGACCCCCGAGTGACCTGGCTAATGTCCTCTGGCAGGGGCAGGGGAACCCAGAATGCACCCCAGCCAGGGCCCCCAGCCACCAGGCTGCAGACCACAGTATCAGGCACATGTTACTTGTCCACGAATGTTCTACTACCAAAGCTGGCCCAGCTGGCCCTAAAATCCACAACTGCAAAAAAACTAACTCAGAATATAGATCTCACAAATGACAGCCTAACTTAAATGCTTGCATTTTTTATTGTAGTGAGAAAAGAAATGAATGAAAAACATAATCAGATTTGACTCTATTGAGGAAGGTCATATGTACTTCCAGGATCACATTCTGTAGAATGTTGACCGTCTGCAGAAGAGAATTGACATTTTTCCTGGTTCTTAGTGTAGCGTGACCTTAGGAATGGTCACAGAGCTCCCCTCTCTATCTTCCCACCCTCTCTGCACCAGGGGGACCAGTATTGGCTCTGGAGCCAGGCAGCCTGGGCTTGAGTCCTGGCCCTGCTGCTCACGGGCTGTGGAACCCCAAGCAGGTCACTTCAACTCTCCGAGCCTGTTTGCCCATCTCTAAAATAGGGATGATAATAAAATTAGCGGCCCCAATAGGGTAGTTGTGACAATTAATTCAACTCATATTTGTCAGGTGCTTCAACTACCATCATGCACCTAGGAAGTGCTATAAAAGCGTATGTGAGGCTGGGTGTAGTGGCTCACATTTGTAATTCCAGCACTCTGGGAGGCTGAGGCGGGAGGATTGCTTGAGGCCAGGAGTTCGAGACCAGCCTGGGCAACAAAGCAAGATCCTGTCTCTATAAAAAATTAAAAATTAGCCAGGTGTGGTGGTGTGTGCCTGTAGTCCCAGCACTTTGGGAGGCTGAGGCAGGAGGATCGCCTGAGCCCAGGAGTTTGAGGCTGCAGTGAGCTATGATTACACCACCACACTCCAGCCTGAAACTGAAACATTTTCAAGGAACCTGTGAGGTTAGAAGGGAACCTTACAAATCAAGAGGAACCACCATTCCAAAGTCTGAATGCCTTCTGTGGCAGTCCTACCAGGGGGTCACCCTTCCCCTACGTGCATGCTACTGGGAGCTGAGCAGGAGAGTGAGTGCAAGTGCGAGTGCCAGTGTGAGTGTGAGCAGGCCCTTACCTTGCACGGTGTACCCCAGGGCATCCGCCAGCTGCCGGCCAGTGCTCCCTTCGGCTCCAAACTGCAGGATCTCCAGGGGCAGAGACACGCCAGCAGGAGAGATGACAAAGTTCGTCCCGTTTCTACCTGCTGCCACGCTCCGGTAGAGGCGAAGTGCAAACTCAGTCTTCAGCAATGCCAGGCCTTCACGGAGGTGGCCGTCCCCTCGGAGGAAGCAGGAGTGAAGGAGGAAGAGGGTGACCAGGAGGGGCGGCATGGAGGCTGGCGCGTTCCTGCAGTTCAGAGGGGAGACATGCAGGTGAGGAGGGCTGCTGGCGCCGGTGAGAGAGGGGCACATGCCCCAGGGGGACTGAGATGCCCGGCTCTGTTTTCAGCGGCTGGGCAGGGCTGGCCTGTCTTGGTTACCCACCCTGAGTCCCACCTGCCCAGACCACATTACTGTGTCCTGCTGTGCCAGCATTCGAAATACTCACTGTGATCCTTCTGAAAGCCAAGCTGTGGGCCGGAGGACAGGACTGGCTTCTGTCACTCACTAGATGTGTGACTTTGGCAAGGCCCTGGTCAGATCAGAAGTAAACCATTATGTTGGGGGAAAAAATGTAAGACGTAATCCAACTCATCTTTCTTAGAATTTAGCTAGCTTATAGCTATGCCTTGTCTATCAGGAATAATAATAATAATAATAAATAATTATCTACTCTTTCATACATTGTCCGTTAATAATTCCAACAATCTCACTGGGTAGCTGTTATATATATATTTCAACTACAGAAATGATGATTGAGAGGCTCAGTGATTCCTTCACATGGGGAAAGGAACAGGGCTGCGACTCAAATCCCGGTCTTCCATGATTGGTATATAAGATATTAAGAAAACCTATGTGCATTAAAATAGTGATGCGAGCTAATCGTACCTAGAATATCAGAATTCTTGTGATGTGAATTATTCTCGTAAAACAAGGACACCTTCACAAAGGCAGCTCCTACCATAGAAATGTACCCTTCCAAGGAACATTTTAGCATGAGCTAAAAAAGTAAGGCAAGAAGAGAAACGCAAAACAAAACCCATTTGCGGTGACCATGCCACACATGCAGCCAGTGGCAATTTTTGCTAAGTTGTCAGACTGTGGTATCACACCAGATTGATGTGAGACAGGCCTAGTCCAAAGTCACTTCCTAAAGAGGTTTGCAAGCAAGGCCACTGGGCTTGACGGTGCTTAGTTTTGGATAGAGGCCTAAGATGGAAAAGCAAAGCATCCTTTTTCCAACCCTTCCTCCCTGCAGCTGAGCACAAATGCAGGGCTTAGATGATCTGATATATGTTGTGTGTGTGTGTGTGTGTGTGTGTGTGTGTGTTCGGGGTTAGCAGGTCCCAGCCCGGGGCCACTTGTCATTTGTGAAAGCCTCAAGTCCCAGTGCTCTGGCAGCTCCTGTAACCTCCCGCAATCAGACCTTGACGCCCCTGGGCTCCTGTGACCAAATCCCCGCCACGGCTCACCTCGGACAGATGATGGGCTTCTCACCCACAGGCTGTCGTATCAGACTGTGCCACGCTTCCTTGCTCGCTCCTGTTCTTGTGGGTCTCCAGCAGTAACGTGCTCCCCTTTTAAAAAGGTGGAGCGGAATCTGCTTTGAATCACAAGACAGCGCAGAGAGGAAGCTGGCGATCGCCGTCTCTGCCGGCGATGTCTCTACCACCCGGTCCAAATTCCTGCAGCCCGGAGGTCCTGCAGAGAGCCAGGAGAAGCAGCCCGGCCCAGGGCAGCAAAGCCCAGATCGGGAACAGAGCAGGGCCCTGGGGAGGGAGCCAGCCACACCCGTCAAGCCTTCTTAGGCTTGTGACCTGGTTGTACCAGCAAGGAACCCCTCATCCAGCCCTTTGTCACAGTGAGGAATTCCACTGATAACTCCGCTTATCGGGCTTTCGCTGGGTACCAGGTACCTAATGCTTCCCCCTCCTCCTGTGAAGAAAACAATAAATCAGTCATTGGGCATGACTTGAAACTTGCAGCAAACGAAATTCTTCAAAAGAGAAAGAAAGCAATACAAGATACGGCACATTTAGTTTGGAGCAGGGCGACTTGCTGTAGTTATTATTAATAAAAGTGAATGTGCTCGTTTATTTATATGTAATATGAGCACTATTAATAATCTTGTTCTCAGACACAACAGTGAATAAACTCAATGACTAATTTGAGAAAGAGACCATGTCAATGAGTAAATGCACATTTTTGGACAGTGTGAGCAGGTTGTCAAAGGTCTGTCCTTGTGACCAATTCAGAATGACCAATTCAGAATACATTTCTATTAAGGTCTTAGGCCTGTATTAAATTCAAAATAGACAGTAGCTTATATATTGCTAAAGATTAAAGAAAAGAAAAAGACATTTTGAAATGAATGCACATTTTCAATATTTATCTCTCAGGTACCTGTTAGTGTTAATATTTGAAAATCCATGGGCTGTTTTTCACCTGACAACTGCCCTTTAAAGAGCTTTATTGCTAACACACAAGGCTGGGATAGCTTATAGGTCTTAGGATAATTATAGTCCTGTAATTCTACAATTGTCTCACATTAGCTCTCCCCAAATCTTTAATTTAGCTGTAAGTGCATTATTTAATGGCTTGGACTTGAAGTCATAGTGTGTTTGGGGAATAAATATGTTTAAATTATTCTATAGCACCCCAAGAGGGCATATCATTCATTCATCCATTTATCCATCCACTCATTCATCCATCCATACTTCCATTCATACATTCATCCAACAAATATCTCATGCCTGCCTACTGGGTTACAAGCCCCTATGCTAGGTCCTAGGGACATGGCAGTGAACCAGCAGGCTGGGCTCAAATCTTAAGGGATCTAAGAGTCTTGTCCACTGAGTACATGCTTTAGATGTCAATGCTGATGATGTGAAGAAGAAAGTCACTTGTGAGGGTTGCCTTGCAATGTTGTGAGTTCCCTGTGGGCAGAATTATTTGATCAGAAGCCGATTCAGTACTTGCCAGTGGTGGGGGCAGAGAAATGCTTGTCAAAAAAGTTTCCCAAATGGTAGAAAGGGCTGTCTGTGTGACTTTCACAAACATTCCTTTCTAAGTATGTACCATTCTAAACTGCTTCTCAAAAACATCCTCAAGGAAAAATGCTAAGGAAACTTAACATACAAAAGATATTTTCTATATAGGTTAAACCTTGCTGGGATGGATATTGGTTATACTGATAAGGGAGGCTCTATTCTTAGACATACTTATTCATAATTATAACAATAAAAATAGTGAACATTATCAAGCACTTACCATGTTCCAGCTACTCTATTAGACACTTTCCATTCACAACTGCAATGAGTCCTCCAAATGATACTATGAGGAATGTATTATTATTCCCATTTTGCAGGTGAAGAAACTAAGGCTGAAGGGCTTACCATCTTGCCTAAGGTTTCATCAGGTGGAGCTGGGGTTTGAACTTAGGGCCACTTTGACTCCAAGGCTCCTGCTCCTCATCATAATCTTGGTGGTGTCTGTTAGGAGCTGAGGTACTGGGTCTCTTGAAAACCCCCTTGGCTGTGGGATTCCAAGTCATCACACTCCGTTGGCTCACAGTGTGTGTCCAGTCTCTCTGCCCACATGCGCCAGGGACGGACGCTGTGGTGAATCATCTGTAGACAGACTGCTAGGAGGCACAGCACATTTTTAATTTATGATTTTCAATTTTTCCTTAGCTGATTTCTTAGAGGCATAAACAAATCACTTCAGACCTAGAGGTATACCAAACTAATGTGACAGATAGAAGCATTGATTCTAATTCAGTTAGAACATAATTAATACATAGGCATCTCCTCTTTGTCACAGAGGCTGCTGGTCTCAGGTGGTACAGAGAGTCCCCGTTTGTAGCTCTACCCTAGAAGAGTTGCTGTGGGAAGAGAGCGTGCCCACTGATGGGACACGGTCGCCATCGAAGGAAGTCCCAGGGTGCCCCTGGAGAAAGCCAGAGAGCCACGCAAGAAAGCCCAGCACATGGTGCCACAGAATTGGGCAAAGCCAGCAAGTCCTTCACAGGAAATGGTACAGGTGGGATTCCACCTGTCCTTCTAGAAAGGAAAAGGTGGAAAGAGGCACCTCTGGGCTTCCGGCTGTCACAGCTGACAGGTGCAACATAGGCCTCAAGTTCTTCATAGGTACCCAGTGCATAGATTCTAGATGAGCCGCTGGGCCTCTCCACCTTCCAATACCTTTCAGCTTGGCATGCTGGAGACAGCACACAGGCCTGGCTTTAAATAACTGCTTCTTAATAACTGTATACCTTGGGCAAGTCCCTGAACTGCTCTGAGCTTTAGTTACCTCTTCAGCAAAATGGGCATATAATACCTGCCTCTCAGAGTGAAGGTGGAAGGAGGCAGCCCCCATAAAACACCCAGCATGGCATCCGATAGGGAGGAAACATTGAAGACCTCAGCTTCTCACTCCTCATCTCAAGAAAGGACCACTGAGGTTCCTTTCATGCTAGCATAGGAAGGGGCCTTGGGTCTCACTATGTGGCTGGCTGGAATGTGGATCTATGTTCTCTTCTCTAAAAGTATCTTTTTAGATAACTTTCAAGAAAGGGATTGGAAACCGTAACAAAGGTTTCTGGGTTTGAATTCAGAGTGATTTTTTTTTTTTTTTAGACAGAGTCTCACTGTCTTGCCTGGGCTAGAGTGCCGTGGAGTCATCTCAAACTCCTAGACTCAAGTAATCCTCCTGCCTCAGCCTCCCGGGTAGCTGGGACTACAAGCATGCACCACTGTGCCCGGCTAATTTTCTCTATTTTTAGTTGTTTTGGCTGATTTCTTTCTATTTTTAGTAGAGACGAGGTCTCGCTCTTGCTCAGGCTGGTCTTGAACTCCTGAGCTCAAGCAATCCTCCCACTTAGGCCTCCTAGAGTGCTAGGATTACAGACGTGAGTCAGCGCACCCAGACTCACAGTGAATTTTTAACCTAACTTGTAACCCATTGTTGTTACTTCAGGGGCAGAGGGTTGAGTTAGTGCTTCTGTGGTCATGGGCCATCATCACAGCGGTCCATGCACCCCACCCTTGTTTGTTATTTTGTTTCCTCTTAGGAATATGCTTTGAAAATTATGTATTATTTTGAGTGCATGCATTTTATTTATTTTTTTTATTTTTTTTTTCTTATGCCATCAACATAAGAAGAGTGCATGCATTTTAGATTTACAGACATACTTTAATGTTACGTATTTCATTATGTTCCCTAATGTCTTTACATAAACACTATGTATTTTTCATAGAAATTATAATTACATTTTATTGAAAACTGCACTGAACAGTAAGTGACCCCCTTTACAATAAACAAATACAGTTTAAGTAACTTACACTAAAACCACATTTCTGATAGCCACTATTTTTCTGTTTGGGATAGTTTTGAATTTTTCTTTTGTCACAAAAACAAGAATGCACCTATACATAGGCTCAAAATAAACTGTCTTTTTCAACAAAAGAGCAACGATTCATAAAAGACTATGAATGGGACATGTAATAGAAATCTAATAGGATTTGTTAAAAATCAGTCAATCTAATATGTCTGAAATGGTCTTGTGTAAAATATCT